GTGCTGTGCTGTGTTGTGTTGTGTTGTGTGTGTGTGTGTGGGTGTGTGTGTGGGTGTGTGTGTGTGTGTGTGTGTGTGTGTGTGTGTGTGTGTGTGTGTGTGTGTGGGTGTGGGTGTGGGTGTGGGTGTGGGTGTGGGTGTGGGTGTGGGTGTGGGTGTGGGTGTGGGTGTGGGTGTGCGTGTGCGTGTGGGTGTGGGTGTGGGTGTGGGTGTGGGTGTGGGTGTGGGTGTGGGTGTGGGTGTGGGTGTGGGTGTGGGTGTGGGTGTGGGTGTGGGTGTGGGTGTGGGTGTGGGTGTGGGTGTGCGTGTGGGTGTGGGTGTGTGTTGTCCGTTCGTCATGGGGGGGGCACCTCCGCAGCCCCCGCGACGGGGCGAAGGGCCGCCTCCACGCCTCCACCGCCCGGCGCAGCTCCTCCCGCGGGCGAGAAGCCAGGCTTAGGGTGCTCCCATCGTGCTTACGGTGACTACCTGCCAGACCACCCCAACCCAACCCGAAGACCCGAATTTCGGGTTGGGGGGGGGGGCTCCACACGTGGTTTTTCGATGCTCCCCGACCCCCCCCCACTGGAAATGGAGTGCAAATTGAGGCCTTCGAGTTGGGTTGGGGTGGTTTGGTGGGTGGGGATCAGGACCACATCCCAAGACTAATTTCGAGCACCCCGAACAGGGTCGAAAGAATGTCGAAGCAGTGTCGAGACAGTGTCGGACGAGCGTCTCCCAGGGCCCGACGCGTGAGAACCCTCGAGCTTAGGCACTTTCCTGGTGCTCGAGATTCTCTCTAGAGATCGAGGCTAAAGTAGGTTGGGACATCCTAGAGCTAGGTGGCCCCCACGTGAGCCCTGCCCCCACCCCCCACGATTTCGAAAAGGGGGGGTGGGGGCTTGCTCCGCTCGGGAGCTCTCGGGCGAAAGGAGCCCCCACCCCGCCAATCAGAACTCGGGGGGGGGGGGCCGAGAACCATCTCCGTGCACGCGGCCTCGCGGGCCCGGCCCCTGGGCCGCGACCCCCCGCGGGTGCGGGGCGATCTCTCGCGGAAGCCCTGCGCGGATCGTGTTCGTGCTTTACCGCGTCTCCGCGGGAGCGCGACCTGGAGTGCAGACCGTCTGGAGGGCGCGGACACGGAGTACATTATACGTTCGCCGCTCGTGGGGGGACCAAAAGCTAACCGATACCGCTGCTTTCGAGTCGGGCCTGTCCTCCTGCAGGGGGGTATTTTGGGCAAAAAAACACAAATAGTCAGAAATACCCCAAAATGGTCAACAAACCTACTGAAAAAATCATCCCCCGACTATGTTTGGACTATGTTTGAATATCCCTCCTGTGGAGGGACAGGCCCGACTTCACGCAGCTCTCCCAAGGGTGCGTTCTGACCAAGGAGCTTCCAGGCGAACCCAGCCTGCCGTGTGGCGACGAGGCGCCTCCCCAGAGGCCCCCCAAGAATAGGATTCAGTCGGGCCTGTCCCCCTACATTGCCGATCTTGGACGAACAACTAAGAATACCCCAGAAATACTTTGAACAAATCCCCCAAAATGGTCCAAAAATCGCCCCCAGACTATCTTTTGACTGTGTTTGAATATCCCCCCTGTACAGGGACGGGCCCGCCTTAAGAACAGGAGGCAGGGCACGCGAGGGCCAGGCAGCAGTAGGACGGGCCCGCCTTAAGAGTAGGAGGCAGAGGCAGGCAGCAGTAGGACGGGCCCTGACTATTGTTTGCCTATTCTTGAATATCCCCCCTGTAGAGGGACGGGCCCGCCTGAAGAACAGGAGGCAGAGCGCACGGAGGGCAGGGCGGCGGCACCTCGGCACGCGCACGAAAGGCTGGGGGCAGCACGCCGAGGCGAGCCCGCCGCCAGACGTCGAACGCGGGCGCCACGCCCACTCCGCGCGGGCCTGGCTCGGCGTCACCGAGGCCCCGGGGCTGCGTTAGGTCAGAAGTCGGGCGTGTCCCCCTACAGCCGGATTCTGGGCGAGCAATAAAAAATACGAAAACAAAATAGTCCGAAATGGTCAGAAAGTGCTCCAAAAATAGTCCCCAGACTATTGTTTGACTATTTTTGGAGATTCCCCCTGTAGAGGGACAGGCCCAACTTAACGTTAGGTGGGTGGGCCACGTACGGTAGGGGGGAGGGGGTTGCACAGGCGGACTCGATTGGACAGGACACGCGAGAGGACACAAGGCCCTTCCGAGGGCCACGTTGCCGCAGGAGTGTAGGAAGCATGGGTCGCGAGGCACAGGACACGATGGGTACCCTTGTATCTGGCAGGGCCGACCTACTCATCCGGGCCGACTGTAGGGGGGGGGCGGGTGGCACCTCTTTCTCCCCTGAGTAACGGGGCCCTGGGACACACAAATAAATACACACAAATAACATGATTCCCAATATTTTCATGTACTTTCTGGGTTTTTGTCTTCCCCCCCACCTCCCATATCTTCCCATATTCTCTGGGGAATCGACGATTCATTGTGTCTGTGTGCTTCTTTTCCTCCTGACTGAGGTTCGCCGCTCGTGGTCCTCGGCCGAGCCGCGCCGGTTGGCCGGGCGCCCGAGCACCGGGAGCTCCCCGCGGCCGAAGAAGATCGGCTGCACGCAGGAGCGACCCCACCGGGCAGGAGTGGCCCCGGGTGTTATGCCGGGCGTGTCCCCCTACAGGGGGATTTTCGACGACAAATTTAAACTACCCCAAAAATACCCCAAGGAGGTCAAAAAATACTCCAAAAATAGTCCCCAGACTATTTTTGGACTATGTTTTGAGCATTTTTGGGCAAAACCAAAATCGTCGAACATCCCCCTGTAGGGGGACACGCCCGACATAACCCTGGTCCGCGGCCCAGCGACGGGGGCCCTTCTTGGGAAATCCTTGCGAGAGTCCTGCAGGGGCACCTGGGGCCAGTGGCACTGCTAGCACCACCCGGCCCATGGGGCCCGAAGCAGAGGTCACTCCATGGGGAAACGAAAGGGCACCGATGCCGCTGGTTCCTCCACGGACCTCTCCCGGGGTGCGTTCTGACCAAAATCTCGAGGCGAACCCAGCGGTGGCGACGAGGGCCTCCCAAGAGGCCCAGAAATGGGAAAACGGCCGAAGGGCAGAGGTATGGGTACCTTTTCCTCCTCTGAGCTCCGGCGAATAGTCGCTTTTGCGTGTAGCCGAGAAGACGCCCTCCCGTGCGGCCGCGGCGGGCCGGGCGGCCAGCCGCACGGCGGCCGCGGCCAGCATCCACCGCGCCGGCCCAAGGGCTCGCGCGAGCGCTGGCGGCGGCCGAGCCGGTCTGGATGCGGGGCTGGAGTTCGGGTGGCCTCCCCCCTCCTCTGCTCATTGATACAGTATTCGGCCTGACCTAAGGAACGATAAAATCAGGAACGAAGCCCCTTTTTCTCCAAGTGAGTCTAGAAGTCCGAAGGAACTCTAGGGGGGGCTCGCCGCCAAAAAGGTAGGGGAACGCATGCAAACCAAAGGAACGACCGAGCCCCTTCTGAAAGTAAGTGCTCCTGATTCAAGCCGGACCCTGTACTGGAGTCTTCCAGTCGCGGCCGAAGAGATCGGTCGCTACCGGTGTGGCTTCAGACTCTGGTATTGGTCGCGACCGATCGGTCCGATCGGTCGCGCCTGGTCGCGGACGATGCCGAAATCGGTCGCGATCGGTCGCGACCGATTTGAAGTGTGGATCGGTCGCTACCGATCGCGACCGAAACAGAAATCGAGTAAACAATGAGTTGGGTACCCCCCTCCTCCTCCCTGGGCAGTGGGCCCGCCGCCCCTGGAGCCCCAGAGGATGGCCCGGGCGAGCACGGGGCGCCAGGGACGCCGCTGGCAGCGCCGCCCACAAAAGGACAGGTCACCGTCGTTACCGCCGCCGCCGCCGACGTCGACAGGTCGGAGGACGACTCTGATATCCGGGCGTTGCAATTCTTTCACACGGGGCGTTTTCCCCCAGGTTGCGGACCCAAGGACCCTCACAGGCAGATCTGGCTCGAAACATGGCGTAGAAAGGTGGGGTCTAGCGATCCTGTCGTGATTTTCCGCGATGTTGCAACTTGTTTTGCAACGTCGGATTTCAGGGCCGGTCGTGGCGGCTGTGACCCCTCCCAGACATCCGAAGTAGGAAACAAAAACGAGACGGCTGTTTTTCCTAGTTTTCGGCCTCGTGGGACCTTCGACAGGCCGCAAGACCGTCCGTAAGCAACTCACGATGTAGATCTGGCCCCACGGAAGGGGTCGAGACTTCCGGGGACCCCGACTTGAAAAACATCAAAACATCGGTTGCCTCCCCCTGAGATGCGAGCTTTGCAATTCTTTCACACCAGCCGTATTGCCCATTTTCTGGCCCCAGGACCCTCACAGGTCGATCCGGCTCGAAGAATCAAACGAAAAGATAGGGTGTAGGGCTCAGGTGGCTCAGGTGGTGATTTTGGGCGATGCTGTGACTTTTCTGCAACGTCGGATCGCAGGACCCCTCGTGGCGGAGAGATCACGGCGAACTGCTTTTCCTCTTATTTTCGGTCCCTGCGGGGCTCTCACCCAGCCCCGCCCAGAAGATTTGCTCCTCATTTCCGGTGGCGCTTTGAATTTCTGGGGAGATACCGAAATCCAAAGAGAGCGACCGAAATGCCATCACTAGCATGGTATGCCACTGCCAGGCTTCAGCCTAAGCAAAATCGGCAGCCGATACCGAAACTTGCACCAGTTCGCTACCGAAAAGATTGGCGCGAGCACCCACGAATTTCGGTAGCGCGCTACCGAAACTCGCGGTCGCTTAGGCAAGTCGTTTTCAAAAGTAAACAAACGTTTGACAAACGCTTACCTAGCAGTTGTCTGACAAACGTTTGTCTCGAAGCAGGCTCTCGACAAACGGTTGTATCCAACCAAACTGTCGACAAACGTGTGATTCGGAACAGTCTCATGACAAATGCTTGTCAAACGTGTGTCGTACGTTTGTCGCAATACATGTGAGCGAATTGCTGTCACTACCGAAGTCTCGCTACCGATGTTGTGCAGGGCGCGTGAACAATCATTTACACTAACGCTGCTGATTTGGGATCGTCATGCCAGTACCGATGTTGATGTGCCTTGCATGCGCCTTCACGATATTCTCCGGTCGCGAACCCTCTGGGCGGGGAATGTGGAAAACAACTCCGGTCCTGGGAAAAGGTCCATACCTAGTCCATGAGTGCCCTCAGAGTGCCCTGGGACGCTCTGGAGCGATCTGGTTGTAACCTTCATCGCCAAAGGCCTGCCTGATGTGCGGCCGTAAATGTTGCAGCTGGCCCCCTCCCGTCGACCACAAGCAAGAGCGGCGGCCCAAGGAGTTAGGCGAGAGCGACGCTTTGGGGGGCCGGAAGGGCAGGGAAGGGGCGCCGAGTACGGGCTGCGCGCTCGCGCGGCCACGTGCCCTTGCGGGCTCAGCGGGAGTTGGCCAGACCACCTTGTCAGAGGGTCCTGGGCCCCTGGGACGGAGCAGCGGCCTGGCGGCCTCGACCAGCAGGGCCCGTGCACCAGTCTGGCGACCAGAACGGCCGTGGCCAAGGATGGGGCAGATGCCTGGAGAAGCGCGCCTCTCCAGGCAGGAGGGGGAGGGGGAGGAGGGGGACGAGGAGGGGGAGAAGGAGGAGGAGGAGGAGGAGGAGGAGGAGGAGGAGGAGGAGGGGGAGGAGGAGGAGGAGGAGGAGGGAGGAGGAGGCGGGCTCTCCGCCCATCAGGGCTTCAGTCGTGGACTTGCCGGGACCACCAGCCGTAGCTCGTACCATTGGGTCTTTCGCTCCTGCTCTGCAGCCGGGCTCGGCGCTCCTCTGTCCAGCTGGGCACGCGGTGTTGCTCCATCAAGTTGCGTGCCTCCGTTGTCACGCGCTGTACCCCAAAAGGGGGGAGTCCAGATCCAAGCGCGCAGGCTAGTGCTGGGGGGGAGGAGGAGGAGGAGGAGGAGGAGGAGGAGAGGAGAGGAGGGAGGAGAGGAGGAGAGGAGGAGAAAGGAGGAGGAGGAGGAGGAGGAAGAGGAGGAGGGAGGAGGAGGGAGGAGGAAGGAGGGAGGGGGGACCCTATGTGGGCCCGCACCACCAAAAGGCAGCTCGAGCCACTCCGTCGCCAAAGAGTCAGGCGTCCAGGTCATGACCCGATCGTCTGGCGGCCGTTTGGGACTATCCAGCTACCCCGGAACGCTCTCGGCGAGACGCAGCCGCTGAAAAGCATCCCAGTGCGCGAAAATGTCGAAGAGCACGAGACAACGTCCGAGACCACATGGGAACCCGCCCGCGGGGTCACTCCCGCGAAGGACCACGCTTGCGCGCATCCGCTGAAGGCATCCCGTGGCACCGTTCAGAGCCGACGAAAACGCACGAGAGCCCACGACAACAGGACGATAATGGTGTCATGATGCAACTGGCTCAAGAGACGTCCCAGGAATGCTGGAGTACCTGGCGGCCCTCTTTCTGCAGCCCGTGCGCAACATCAGGAACTCGATGGACAGCCTTGCAACGCATCATTATCACGTCCCTGCCCCTCTGAGGAACCGTCCGAGAACACCCACTGCGCACTGCGGCCCCCCTACGGTGCACTGCAGCTTTTTTCGCTCCGCCTCCGGTCCCATCGAGGCATCGAGGATGCTCGTTCGATGAGGCGCCGCACCTGCCCCTCTGAGGCAACGTCCGAGAACATCCACTGCGCGCTGCGGCCCCCCCACGGTGCACTGCAGCTTTTTTCGCTCCGCCTCCGGCCCCACCGAGGATGCTCGTTCGACGCGGCTCCGCAAGCAGTTTGGCCCGGTGGGCGCCCCCAGGGGGCGCAACGCGCGAACGGATGCAGTCGGGGGCTGCCTGGCCTCCGCTCTTCGGCGTGCTCCATCGCCCGCGGTCTCCTCGCCTTTACCAGCCTCGACCTTATCCCTATCCCTATCCCTTACCAGCCTCGAACTTATCCCTATCCCTATCCCGAAGGCAATGACAATCTTAGGGATGCACCCTCAGAAACCGAGGGAATCCCTACGATCGCCATCGTGACGAGGCGATGCCCAACGTAGGGATAGGGATAGGTTCCGGGCTGGTAACGCCTCCCGCTCGCGCGCTCCTCGCGCGTGGCCGTTTAAACATTGTATACACTTCTCGACTTGTGCGTGTCATCCTTGCGCAGGGGCCATGCCAATCTTCTCTGCATCGTTCCAATTTTCACGGATGATCCCCGAAGGGAATCCTCCTGCTCGCGCGCTCCTCCCTCCCCCCCGGGTGCCCGGCTGGGCCCCGCAGTGCCCCTCGGCTGCCTCTGACCGCGGCCTGGTGCCAAGCCGCTGCGACAGAGGAGGACCCCCTCCGCAAAGGCAGCCAGGCAAAGCCAGGACGGGGCTAGCAGCGGGTGAGGAGCAATCGCGAATCCTGGAGATCTGGCGGCTCTGGACCCAGACCCCCTCGGGCAATGAAAAAATCATGACGGGAAGTTTTTCGTTATTTTCAGTCTCAGGGGGCCCTCGCCGGGCCTCGGGACCGTCAAAAAACGACTCAGGATGAAAAACCGGTCCAGGGGAATGGGTCGACACCTCCAGGGGTCACGTAATGAAAAATCATGACGTTGGGGGTCTGGGGAGGCTGCCTCGGGCGCCGCGGCCTTGTCAGAGCCCTCCGGAACGCTCTGGAACGATCTATCCGAATCTATCCACGTCCCATCGACTACCCGCAAGAGAGTGACCCTGCGCAAGAGACAGAGACCCTTGGTGCGCGGCCTCTTGGGGGCCGCGGGGGGGGGGGCAAGCACGAGCGCGCAGGACGCCACTGCCGCCGCCTCGCGCACGGCGACCGGGGGGACCCCAGTGGACCCGCACCAGCAGGTCAGTCCAGCGAAGGGCCACTCTTATACACAGAGTCGACCGAATATAGGGGACAAAAAGTCACATAAACATAAAAAATCTGAGGTCCGCGCGGATTTCTCGGGTCGGCGCTGGGGCCCCCCGGCGGCGCCTCCGGCGCCGCCCCTGGCGCGCTCCGCGCGCCAGGGAGGGGGGCCCGGCGCCGATCCGAGAAAGCCGCGCGGGCCTCCGAGTTTTTTATGTTTATGTGACTTTTTGTTCCCCCAGGGCGGGAGGGCAGGGGCAAGACTGTGAAGGGGGGGCTGGCAGGCAGGAGGGGAGAGGTTGCAACGCAGGGGAGAGAGAGTGTGAGATGTCGCAGAAGGAGGGGGAGGAGCACGAGGCAGCATGGACGAGCGAGAGGCTGCGATGAGTTGTGGGAGGCGCCGCGCCCCGGCCTGCCGATCGCCGCTGCGGGGCGCGGCCGCGGGGCCGGCGCGCCGCCGCGCGGCGCCAGGAGCGCGGCCCCCGCCCCGAGGCAGCCGCCGAGCGCCGCCCAGAGCGCCCGGCCGCCCGCCTCCGCGGGGAGGGCCGCGGCGCACGCGCGGGCGGGCGCGCGGGCGGCGCGCGCGCGCGGCGCGCGCGGCGCGGGCGACCGGGCTCCGTCCCCCTCCATCCCCTCCCCCTCCCTCCCCTCCCCTCCCCTCCTCCCCTCCCCCCCCCTCCCCTCCCCTCCACAATTACTCAATATGAATACTACTCTCCTCCTTCCCCTGATGACGGTTTGGAGTATTCGCCCCCCCCCCGCGTACTGTTTTTTTTACACACAGGATTCCCCACAGTTGGGTTTTCGCTTGCATTTGTTTTCAAAATGCTGCTCTCGCTGAGGCGCTGGCCTCATTTTCGGGCCCCGCTCGTTCCGAATCGTGCTCCCGCTGCAGCGCTGGCCTCATTTCCGTGCTTCCGCTCGTTCCGAATCGTGCTCCCGCTGCAGCGCTGGCCTCATTTCCGCGCTTCCGCTCGTTCCGAATCGTGCTCCCGCTGCAGCGCTGGCGTCATTTCCCGTGCCATGCCACGGCATGCAATGCAATGCTAGGTTGCGTTCCGCTGCGCGATGCCATGCCTTCAGCTGAAGCTGTGATATGCAATGCTTAAGTGCCACGTCGTGCTATGCCATGCTACGCTTTGATCTTCAACGCCATGCTATGCAATGTTATGTTCGGGGCCGCTGTGCGATGCCATGCTTTGCGTTGCAAAGCTTTGTGATGCAATTCTTCACTACGCCACGCCACGCCATGCTGTGACATACTACGCTTTGCGGTGCTCTTCTACGCCATGCCATGCCGTGCTCTACAATGCATCGCGTACCCTTTCGGGATCATTGCCCTGCTCGACATCCGACTGTGCGAGTAGAGAGGGGATCTACGCCATGGTAAGGGATGGGAGGGAGGGGTAGGATGTCAGATATGACGCGAGCGCACCTAGCTTGCCTCCCCTCCCCCCCTCCCTCCGTCCCCTCCCTCTCTCCCCTCCCCTCCCCCTCCCTCCCTCCCCTCCCCTCCCCTCCCCTCCCTCCCTCTCTCTAGGTGGCCACGCGCGAACCCTACCCCCACCCCCCACGATTTCTGAGGGGGGGGGGGGGGCTCACTTCGCTCGAAGGCTCCCGAACGAAGTGAACCCCACCCTCCCCCTCAGAACTCGTGGGGGGTAGGGGTAGGGTTCGCAGGTGGCCCCCTATCTCTCCTCCAGCGGACACTGCTCCCAGAGCTCCCTGGTGCCCGTGCAGGGCCTTCAGAGTGAAGATTGCGCTGCGAGTGGCGTGCCGGCTGCTGCCGACAGGCTCACGGCTTCATCGGCTCCGGCAATCAGGCCGGTCGTCCTCGCTGCTCCTGTTCCTTGTAAATAACCTATCCCTGTCGCACCCGCGGGCGCGTCGATGAGTGCGTTTCGCTTGAGACTTCCCCACCCTCTACGATCCTGAAACTAGAACAATGCGCAACACTTGCACGTATGACGGAAGTGGCTTTCAAACTATGGCTCTCGCCTTAGCCTCGCGCACATCCGTCTTAAGAGCATGCCGCATATACACGGATGGAGGGCATGATGCTCAAGATGTAACACTCGCTGTAGCGCCGCGCACTGTCGTCTTCAAAGCTTGCAACAGTTAGCAGATGGAGCGCAAGTGGTCTTCGAGCTGTGGCTCTCGACTTGGCGCCGCGCGCATTCGTCTCAAAAGCTGGCGCTCGCCACTAGACTGAGGCAAGGGGGAGGGGGTCTCGCTGGACACCTCGTTGAGCTGCACGCTCCTAACTCTTCGCACTCCTGACGACTTGCCAGGAGGATCCAAGGCAGTTCCTTCCTCAAAGCGCGGGACTCTCCCCCGAATGGCAGGCCCACAGGGTGCTGGCCATTGCAGGGGACGTCTCTTCCAGTGAGGGCAGGCGCGTAAGGACTTTTGAAAAGGGGCCTTGGGACGGGAGGATGTACTGCAGCATTGTGCGTGCATATTGGATTTTGTCTGGTGACCCTCCTGTCGGAGAGGACGTAACGGTGGCAGAGGTGGGGCTGGAGGAAGATCGCTCCCAGTGGCCCCCTGGAAAAGGACACGTGAGCATCCAGCTGGATTTGCTCCCGACCACACATTCAGACAACTCCACATCTATCCCCAACCCTCCTCCCCCTCCTTCCCTCAGACCTGGGCGACGCATCAACAATCGCGAAGGCCGTGCTCTTGCTGTTGCTCTCTGCCTCTAGAGGCCACATCCCGGCCCAAGGACCGTCCATAAACGACTGAGACGTCCGAGCCAGTGCGAGAAAACAATGTCCTTCTCGGTCGAAGCTGCGCTAAGGATGGAAGACCAGCCCCGGGGAAGAGGGCGAAGTCCCGAGGGCCGACATCACGACACCTCTCTCGACCTCTCGACGTGAAGAGGAACAGCGTGAGATCGAAGAGACGAGCACGAACGTTCACGAACATGACGATCAACTGCATCGTGGGCACGCGCCCCGGAAGTTCACGAAGGGCAATGGGTGGAGCTCACGACCCGCGCCAGTTCAGACGGTGCGCTGAGCTAGCGTGGCAGTGAACTGTTGCTGATATTGGCCCGGATCCGTCTGCCGCTGACCATCCTCCTCCTCCTCCTTGACCTCGTCATCCTCCGTGTCCTCCACAAACCGGCGGGGGTCACTGCCCGTTTCAGTTCAGACGTGGCGCTGAACAGGCGCAAGTAGCAAATTGCTTCCCCCAAGGTGTCGTGAATAGAATTTGTTTTTCAACTAACACCGATGTTGAAAAACTACCTTCGTCGGACCTCTGGCCGAACACAAAAGTGTAGAACCGCTGATGTTGTTACACTGGCTTGGAGCTTTCCAAATTTAGGCTCCCTCCGAAAAAAACATTGGAGATTACTCTGGTTTCCATCGATCGTACATGTTCGACGATCTTTACGGAGTCAGTTGTTGAGGATGTATACACCGAAACGCCTGAGTTTGCACAACAGTGTTAAATCGCAACTGGTAGTTCTAAGTCAGTTTGGTTATCTGGCCGCCTTGGGGGTCCTTGAAAAGTGTCTCTGGAAGATGGAATACAATGGGTCTGTCACCGTACCATTATTTGAGAATGTCTCGGGCGAGAGCTCCACTAATGAAGCAACAGAGATTTCGCAAGCATGTTCAATGTTAATATTTACTGAGGATGTCTGCAGTGAGAGCTTCATTCTGAATCATCGACGTAATGGAAGAACCATGACCATCTACATGTTGCGAGGGTGTCTCAGGCGAAACGCCTATTTCGGAATCCACCAGCGGCGCGCGGAAAAGCAGTCCCGAGCCACTCCACCCCTGACCTCCCCGATGTGATAGATATCCCATCCGAATCCTAACTCCTAACCAACGTCCGTCGCGTGACTCCTCGAGTTTGAGCGCGCTTCCCGCCCTCTCCCATCGTGCCCCCATGGCACGTTGGGTCGTGGTAGAATGGCACGTGCTGCCTGGCAGTGTCTGCAATCTTCTGAGAGGCCCCACCTTTACCAGCGCTTCGGTACAGGCTCCAGCCTCCCCTTCCGAAGCGACGATCTCGTGTTCAAGAACGACTGATCCGCTCTCCCGAGACTGCGATCCCCCGTCAAAAGCGATGGATCCGTGCTGCCGAGCTTCTAAAACGGCCGATGCAGGCCACCAAGACCGCCGAGATGGCACAACATGCCTCCAAGACGGCCCAAGATGACCCCAAGATGGCCCAAGCTGGCCTCAAGACGGCCAAACAGGTCCCCAAGACGGCCCGAGAGGGCCACACCAGGATCCCCAGTGGGGCCCGACGGATCCAAAACCATTGAATTGCACTTGGTCTTTCGAAGATTTGGGAGTTCTTCCCTTTTCGGGTTTCCGGCGGCTCCAGGCGGGCCCCAGGAGATCGACTGCAGCATTGATTCACCCCACAATGGAAACTTTCGCCGAATCGGTCCAAACATAGAACGCTTGCAGATAGTGTACCATCCACAAAATCAAGTGTGCGGTAAACCAATCCTGTAGCCGCTCCTGTTCGACACCTGGGATCGCGAGCGGGATCCGCAAGCGCCTCGGCTCGAGAGGGGAGGAGGAGGAGGAGGAGGAGGAGGAGGAGGAGGAGGAGGAGGAGGAGGAGGAGGAGGAGGAGGAGCAGGAGCAGGAGGAGGAGGAGGTGGCTCCGCAGACGCCAGCTCGACAGGGCACCGGGAGCCCACCGTCGCCGTCGCC